ACTTGCCAATGAAAAGAAGGCAAAATCTGGTGTGTTGCTCTTCCTCTCCACCAAGGATGAGATGAGATATTCCACAAATAGGGTCTTTCCCATAGCAGATTTCCCTTAATGAGGGAGAAGAGCAGGGAGGAGACAGCACAACCTGCAGTCCCTGGACCTAATATGGTTTAGAGGAAGGCCTGGGCAATGTTTTGCCTCTCCTTCACACTGTGCCTCAGAAGCTGGCATGAAGGGAACCCCCACTATCTGATGACTGAATACAATTCTCTCTCTTTGCCACATGGATTTCCCCCACTCTAACCCCACCCCCACACAGAGCCCTCTACAGATTACCCCTAAAGTGGGTAACTGAACTCCCAACCTCTAGCTCTGCAGCCAGATACCTAAACCATCCGGCAGTTCAGTACCAATCCAGTTGAACAATTTACATCGTTTGCTGTACCCACGGCTGATATTATACAGCACAGAGCCTCTACTCTGGACTGACCAAAGACCATCATGGCTGGACACCTCTGGGAACTTTCTGATCAGGACACAAGAGTGCATCTACACCACACATACTTAGAGTAGTTCAATACCACATTGAATTACCACAACTTCATCTTATGAAATCCTAGAATTTAGAGTTTGGCGTGGTCCTTAGAATTATTTGCAGGAGACTCCACTAGAGCACTTTTGCAGAAAATTTTAGGTTTCTTACCATACCACAGATGGAGGATTCCATTTGATACCTGGAGCCATGCCCGGTATCAAACAGCTTTACCTGTGCAGTTCAGATGCATTCACAATATGCCTCTTACAGCTGTTATATCTGAAGCTGGTGCCCACCTGTTCCATTCTGCTAACCAAATTCCATCTTCTCCCCCTCATAGAAAATAATGTTGCTTTACTTTACATTGCTGTGAACCAACCTCAGAAATCCCTCACAGATTCAGCCAGCACCGTAGGGACAATGCCACGATAAAGTCACCTCACTCTAAAGTATCTGCTCTTTGCATCTCCATCCACTTCACCACAACTGGAGTGCTAACTGATATTCTCCTTTACACGCATGCTTTCTTTCATGTTTAAAATTACATCCTCCTTGTCTAAAGGGAAGGAGTCAAATTCTCCCTGGTTTAAAGATTCCATGGCAAGAGATAAGCATGCCTTGCTTTGCCTTGCCACATAATCAGCTCTTGCACCAATCAGCCTCTTGGAATGTAAATGTATGCAAATCTTCAGCAATAAACCATCTCCGCCCCAATCTCTTCTTGCTCCCTTTGGAAGGTGGAGGAGGCTGGAGTAATCACAGTGCAGTGATGCCGGGCAAGAGCATTTCTGCTGATGAATGCAGCCAATAATAACATCGTTTTATGTATCATTAATTCCCTTAGCATTCAAAACAATGACTTTCTCTGAATACAGATAATGCAGTAATCACTTACAATTGCCAATAGAGTTATCAGCATTCAGCTGTGTAAAACAACAACTAGAGTATGTTTCTTAGCCACTTAAAACAGGAAGCAGGGCGGGGGCACCAGCTTCAACTCTTTAACATGCACATTAAATGCAAAGCTGCACAGAAGCCTAACTCAACTAGTTACTAGCTGATCTTCAAATGCTGGCTATCAAAGCAAACCACTTCGTGTTTTGTAACAACTGCAAAATGGAAGCTTAGGAACTGTAAATAAGGTTATTTCAGTCATTTATATATTCAGCTCTTTTCCTACCAAGAAGGGTCTGCCTTGAAAACTAACAAGTTTGATAAAATGTCTATGCATTGTGATCACTGTAAGCGCAGGGAGTGGGGAATGTGTGCCCCTCCAGACCTTGGTCGATTGCACACCAACCAACATAAGCAGCACTGAGGGATGATTGGAGTTGTAGTCCAGCATCTGGTGGGCTGCTCATTCTTTAACCCTTGCTGTACATCCATTCTTTCAAATCCGCTGCCTAAGCTGATATCTGGCAACTATATCTACCACTACTTTTTTGTAGTTATAGTTTCTTTCTTTTATAGATATATGTACATAAAACAAAATATAACAAAAACATGACAAATAGAATCACAACTCAGATATACAGTGTAACCTACCACCATCAAGAATATAAATTTATATAAATTTGTACTAATCAATATGTTTTATCTTAATTGATGTCATATACCTCCTCTCTTTCCAATAACATCATGATTCTTGTGTTGGGGTATAACCTTTATATTTTGTAAATACATATTCTATGCAAAGGTTCAAAATCTCATTAAAACTATTTTTCTTCAATAATCCTTTTCTAACTTTCAGTTCACAAGTTAATTTATTGTAAGACTACACATCTCATTATACCATTCTTCCAACATCAATTATTATTTTTCCAATTCCTTGCAAATATCGGTCTAGCTCCAGTTAGCATAACAATTAGTTCCATCTTTCCCCTATCTAGTTGGCAGGTTCCAAATATATTTAACAATGCTAACATTGGACATCTTTGTATATCTGTCCCTAGAATTTCTTTAATTTCATTAAATAATATTGTTCCTTCCTTCTGTCTCTCTTCACATGCCCACCACATATGACAGCATGCTCCCCTTTCTTTTTTACATCTCCAATATACAGATGATAACTTTATTCAATATATTCAATTTCACTGCTTTTAAATGCCATCTCCATATTACTTTATAACAGCTTTCCCTTACCCTAATTGACATATTTTGATCTACTTCCTCTTCTATATTTCTTCAGTAATTTCTTTAGTTAAATCTCCCTGCCATATCGCTTTCAAAGCTATTCTTTTATATTCATTCTCTAACATCTAACATATTACAATTACTGTATTATCCATTTTCTTTAAATATTATCATCCATCTCTTCCCTCCTTTCAATAATTTCTTCAATGTTAGTCATCCCCCTACATTCTCCTTCCTTTCCCCCCATTCCTTAGTCCAGTTATTTAACTGTCTTACATTTGACCAAGTAATTCCTTCTCCTCCTAGCATATTTTTATGGTCTCTATATTATACATCTTTTGAGTCCAATTTTTAATTTTTATACCTTTCTGTTCTAACAAAACTTTGTATAATTTCTTCTTCAGGTTATCTGGAAAGCTGTGTAATTCCACCATGTGGGTCAAGTGGGAAATCTTTGGACTCAATATTCCCTTACACTTCTTCCAACATTGCAACGTATTATTTAAAAATGGGTTGTCTATGTTTCTAATAATATCCTTTAAATGTTCTTTTAAAAACAAATCCTCTGTATTTTCCTTAATCTTGTAAAAACTCAGGATGTGTACCACTGCTTTTGTTCTTGAGACTGCACACATTAATGCTACTAATGGTGGGGCATGGCTTCATGCCAAGAGGTCCCAGGTTCAATCCCTAGCAAATCCAGATAGGGCTGGGGAAAAAACTTGCTAGAAAGCCTGCAGAAATTCTGCCAGTCATTGCCAGTAATACTGGCCTAGATGGAAAAGTCACCTGACTGTGTATGATCCTATGTTAGCAGAGATCAGCATCTTTTTAAAGGACATATCCCTCCTCTTACTTATCCTTGCATAAAAGAACCCACTTATATACCGTAAAAGAGGAAACAAATCAGCAAATAATTTGTATAAATGTGCATATACTTAACTTATTTATGTAGCTGCAAATTTAGAAATAACAAGTAAAATATAACTGGAAATTCAGTACTAGCTAAGAAGACTGTGACCAGGTGAACTGTCTATTTGCCCAGCTAGCTGTCTAGCTGCTAACAGCTGATGGCCAGCTTTAATGCATCTGCTCTCCCTTCTGCTAGTTCCTTATCTTTCAGCCAGATTTGAACTGGACAACCTTTTAAAAAGGGATCATCTTCTGACACTAACCAGAATGTGACGATGGACACAAGGGCCACTTCCCTCTTGAGCAACCAGATTTCTGTATTGTTGCAGACAAACTGGAGATGCTAATATTCATAATTATGTCCAGGTCATAAAAATGGGGGCTAGGAATGCTAGTTATACCCCAACACAAGAATAATTTCCAAAGACAGACTTCTTTGGAAAGAAAACAAAAGGCATTCATGATCAAAAACTGGCTGATGTAAAAGAGCAAGCTACTATGGCCAGCCTTTCCCTGCATGCCAGTTGTAATAATATTTAGTCAAGCAATTACAATACTGCTGATGACATTGTTTTCCTTAAATTCTGAGTAACACCAATGAGAAAAAAACTTTTTTTAATGGAATCTTTCAAAAATTTACAAATCATCATGCACATGAAAATTGATTTAAACATACCCATCGCTGGTTCAGAGAAATTATCCCTGCTGTGGGGATTTTAAGGAGATTTGAATATATATTTTTTTACACATAAGTTGCCATTTTGAGAGGATTTGGAGGAGATACAAACCTTTGTTCAAGAATAAATCCTTGTGCATCATTGCAAAGGAACAGCACAGGCTGGAATCTTGTTGGGATTTTTACCTGCACTTAAGTAAAATTATGGAAGTTGTGGCACCTAAGTAACAATTTGCTAGCCATGTGCATGGTTGCATTTCATTAATTAGATTCAATGAGCACCAGAACTTAAACATTTCTATTTAAGATGTGCATAAAAACCCCAATAGGCTTCTGGCCACTTGGACTATAACAAGGTAGGCCAAGTATGGCCTTCCCTATGTTCTTGGACTGCAGCTCCCATTAGCATAATCAATGGTGAGGAATGCTAGGAGCTGGAGTCCACTAGTACCTGAATGGCCACACCTTGCCTTGTGGAGCCCCTCTCTTTGCAGACTAAGCCAATCTTATCTGATTGTACTCTCAAGTGTGATGCACACAGAATGGTCTATCACAAAGCATCCTTTTTGGTGAGCTGCAGATGTTGATGATTTAGGCCCAAAAAGAATTCCATATCCATTCTCTACAGACAAAATTGAATCCTTATAACTGTCTCAATATCCCAGGTTGCTTGATACTGCATATTTTCCCTGATAAAATTGCCTCTTTTAGGCAACTGCAAATAGTTTTCTCTTCAGGTCAAATGGCCTATTTCTGTCTCACTTCCTGGGACAGCTTCTCTACCTCCTTCATGAATCGAAGGCATAATTCTTCCTGCCATGGTAAAGCCACACACTGTACTGCCACAGGGAGTCCCACTGCACCTTCCACAGCCTACAAAAATAAACAAGAGGTTGAGTTAATAAGAATAAGAATAAGACTTGGAGAATACTTTTTGGGGGGAGTATAGCTTCTAGAGTCACTTACTGAAGGTTTCTAGGAAATAAAGTCCTAAAAAATTTAGCTTTTGCAAGCTTCACTGAAAATGCTCAGATAACAGGATCCAAGTTTTTTGAACACTGGCAGCCTGATCCAATGCATGTTTACTCTGCTGTAGCACTGTGTACAGTGGAGAGTAGTTCTGTATAAATGTGTGAATGTGTGTGTGTGTGCGTGCGTGCGTGCGTGCGTGCGTGTGTGTGTGTGTGTGTGTGTACCTGCTGCCTTTGAGTCTGCTTTCTGGTGCTTCCTTTGGGACTGATAAGTGTGTGATGTGCCTATTTTACACTGTAGATATCTTTGTTTTATTGACATGCATTGTATGTGACTGAGATCTGACAGACAATTGCAGGTCATATGTGTGCCGGGAGGGACAGTTAAAACAGCTGAGAGGTATGGAAGAATGCTTGTGAATGCAACTATGAGCTTATGATTCCTGGCTGGAGGCACATTGTTTTGTTCCTAAGGTGTGTGAGTGTCACATAGTACTGAGTGCCAACATGCAGAAGGAACATCTCCGACACCATACTGTACCTGGTCACCAGAGTACTTTAAGATTGTTAGCCAAATTTGTTACCAGGACACTTATACCCCCAAGACACACACTTTTTGACTAAAAACAGATTCAGACAATATATATTGTGATGGTCATTTAACAGGCTGTAACTTTGTCACTTTTTCTGTTACAAAAAGAATATGATCCTCAATTTTGCAACTAGAACCACAAATGTTCCTTCAAATTTCTTATCAGTTTGTTTAAGCATTGGCTTTAAAAAAACAGTTGGGGAGAAAACAAAACTATTCAACTAAGAACTGAGAGTAGTTGTCATGATTTGCTTCAAGAAATGTAATCTTCCCTTGGTATAAATTTCTTTGGAAATTTTCAATGATTTTTCCCCCAAATAACTTTTAGATTTATGAATATTTGTTATTTGGTGTAAGTGCCTGACATCCAATATTTTTGCAGTAACTATTTGACATTTATTTACAATTGTCAGGCAGGTATCTAAATATTCTATATTGACTCTCTTAATGCAAAATAGTCAACATTTGTCAGGTGAAGCTCAAATTAAATGTTACCTTTACAGCATGTCTGACAGCAGCTTTTGTCTTCATTGAAGTTGAGACATACAACATTTAGTAAATTTCACATTGTCTTTTTTCACTGGTCTAATAAAATTTTGTCCAAGACAATTTTCAAATTCTGATGTCACATTTTTATCATGACATCAAAATCTGAATTTTCAAATTGACATTTCCTGCTCTAACTCCAGTCACCAATCCAGGCGAACCTCTTGCAGTTTCTTATCCCAGGGGTCACCACAGAGTCCTCGGTAACACCTCAGCTCCTCTTCATCAGCCTCTGTAACTGTGGTGACAGGCACAGTTCCAGCAGGGAAGTTCAAAACATTGTACAACATGGTGCATGAGACAGCCGCTGGGAAGGGATAGATGCAAAAGAAGATAGCTGGTGAAATCCAGGTCACTTCCCTCCCTCCCTTGCTACAAAGCCATCTCCTGACATGTCTCATTTTCTGTGTGTTCTTCCATCACAAGTGGAAATGGTATGACTTCAGCCAGTGACCTATAGCGGGGGTGAGTAGCATGTGGTACATGTGTGGCTGGCACACACATAGTCCCAGGGGGCTTGATTTAGCCCCCCAAGCAGCCATGGGGACCACTGCATCTGCATCCCTTCACATGATTGACTCAAACTTCCTTTATCTTCTCTGGAGTTGAGGAGGAGGAGGAGGCCTCTGCCATATTTTGATGGGCCTCCAGGCCTCCAATAAAAAACAAATGGCCACTAAAAGGCTTGAGGGGGCTCTTCCATTTAAACACACACATGCACACCCAGAGACACATTTAGTAAGTAAAAATAGGGAGGGGAGGTGTACTGAGGTTCATAGGAAAGTCCAGGAATGGCCATGTGTGACTCTCAGACTGCCGGGGTTTGCTCGCCCATGGTCCAGAGTCCTCCAACTCTGAGCTTTAGCTCTGTTCCAGAATCCTCCATGAACCCTAGGCTTTTTTCTGGCATTTCCTCCAAGGCCTAAATCAATCTGGACGCCAGCTTATATTTGTCTGCCTAAACACCCTTCCATCAACCGTGTTCAGGTCCCCTATTTCCTCATCTTGGTTCATTCCCATTAGCTTTTCTGTCTTTTTCTTTCCGTCTTGTTCTTCTGCTACCTGTTCTGCAATCTTTCTTTCTGCCCACTTATTCACCCATCCTCGGATCCCGATTTCCATGGGATGACACACAATGATCACACACACATCACAGACATCCTTGGGAGGGAAGCATTCCCAGTTGTAATTTTGCCAACACTGTTGTTGTTAGACTATGGTTCCCATCAATCCTGGCCAGCATAACTAATGACTAGTAAAACAATAGGAGTCTAGCAATATCTTCAGGACCATAAGCTACCCATCTCTGTTGTACTCTTATCAGTGTATAAATACCACTATGCTGCTGAATTATTTCCATTTAACGTATTTTAGAAATTACAAGGAACACCATCACAAAATTTGCTAATGAACACACACACACAATTGTTCCAGTGCCTATTTGGAAAGACAATTATAAAAGTCACACATGAACACAGTCTTCGACCACTAGAGGGGGATATTTTGTTTCTTTTTTTCTTAGGTCAAGAAAGGTTCAGGGAAGCCAGGAAAGATACAGTCCAGGCAGTACAGTACCAGGCAGTCTGAAGACTGTCTCCCAATCCACTCTCTAAACAATCGGAGGAGTGAGGAAGCAGACAGGCACCCTTTTCACCAGCCAACAGTTAACTGAAAGTTCCAATTTTGCACTTTCCCTGCCTCCCACGTGGTTTTTTTTCAGTTCTTAACTCAAATCTAAGTATGTAAGTCAAGTCAATATTTTCCTATGAGAGCGGTTCTTAAGTCAAAATGTTCTTAACTCGGGCCGTTCTTAAGTCAAGACCCCACTGTACTCTTATCAGTGTATAAATAACACTATGCTGCTGAATTATTTCCATTTAGCGTTATTTTAGAAATTACAAGGAACACCATCGCAAAATTTGCTAATGAATACACACACACAATTGTTCCAGTGCCAATTTGGAAAGACAATTATAAAAGTCATACATGAACACAGCTTGGAAGTGAAGAGTTACAAGTAATGAAGTTACTGTAACCAGTTATTTTGGGGGACAGCCAACATGTAACAAAATTACATTTCAGAAGCAATGTAAAAAGGATCAAAGTTATTTTATTGGAGCAACAAGCATCATTTTCTTGTTACTTTCAAATGTGTCTTTTAAAGTACTTCTTGGGGAATTTTGACACAAATTTTTCAGGTTTTTTGCTATTCTCTCACCAATCTTAAATTACAATCTTATTATATAGTAACAAGCAGAACTACAAGTAACCAGACCAGTTACTTTTTCAACATTGTGCAAGAACAGTCCAGACTAAGGCCAACAGTGTAATAGAACTTTGAGTAGGTGTCAAGAATATATGATAGGCTGTACAATAAAAGAGAGTCTCTTGTGTGTTGTTCAGACCAAAGAATAAGCTTTAAAGAGTGAGCCTGGATCCTGGTTCTCAATAAAGAAACAAACTTTCTTGCCATGACTATTTCAGATTGCTGGGGAGGATCCCATAATGGCATGCATAGACAGAATGGTACACATATCAAACTCTAGGATGCTTGAGGGAAGGCCTGGCTGAAGACTCCATCTGGAGTCTGAGGTAATATAGACCAGATGCAGGTTAATTGCCACAGGGAGGATTAGGCCAGGTTACCTGCCCATCCCAAGAAAGCAGGAATTGTAGCTGTTCTCTCTAACCAGTGCTATTTCTCTCCTTGGCTTGCAACTGAGAACAGCAAAAACAGATTCCAGTTGGGCAACCAACTGGTATCAAACCCAATTCTGGTGGAGGACAAGTCCAGACGGTTATAGTCAGGTGGATGTTCTCAAATTTTCATAATGGTGTTTGACTGGACCGAAAGATACTCCCACCGAAAATACAAGACTTACATAGTATTTTTGCAGGATATCCCAGAAGGAAGGCAGGGCCCAGGACTGGGCAGAGGAGAACATCAAGTTGGCATTTCCTCCACTCATCAATAAACTTCTGATGATAAGCCTGAGGGTACAAAGCAACAGCAGTTTGAAAATTGGGATGGAGGTTGAAAACAACAGAAGGATCACTGTTTGAAAGAGTTCATTGCATTATGGGGTGATATATAAGTTAAACAAACAAGTCTATCACATTAAAAACTCTAGAGCAAGTATTACTGCTATGACATGTATTGCTTTCTGCTGTCACCAGGATATGTATGATGTCTCCCTCGAAAGAGGTTCATGTGGCCTCCCAAATTTTAGACTGTGATTTCCATGATCCTTCATCTCTAGCTATCTGGGCTAGGTTTGATGGTAGTATCCATCCAACAAAGTATGGAGAGTCACACAATCCTCATTCCTGTTGTATCCATACAATCCCCATCTTATGCCTGGATGTAGGAAAGTATATTCTTATGATAGTTTCCTAGATAAACCAGGTCTAAGCAACTTAAGGCATTACCAAAGCAATTCCATACATATCTGTTCAGGAATAGGTCCCACTAGATTTTGTAGGACTTGCTCTCAGGGAAGTTGGCATACAATGGCAAGCTACAGGTCATGAGCAACACATTGAATTGGCTCCATTAAGCAACAGGGAGACACTACCAGCCTCTGAGTGCTGGTGTACAATATATCCTACATCAAATTCATGTTAGAAAGCCTGCTGCAGGGTTCGCATGAGCTGAAGTTCCAGAATTCTTACCAAGAGTGGACAATTCACAGAAGGCATAAATTATGCTCATTTGGCTGAAATCTGATGGAAAAGGCAGAGCCATCCTCTAGCCGGGCAAAGCAGAAGCTGGCCTAAAGCACCCCCACCCCTAATCAACAACAGCCATAAACTGGACATCCAAGTACAGCACAGTCTGCAAATCATTAATTTTATGTTTCGATCTGTGTGCCTTTACTGAGTACTCAACCATCACCAGAGAAAGAGAAATCACCAAGACAAAAGACTTTCAGCCAAGTTACAAAAGGTGAAAATGCCAGATGGCATCAAATGGATTGATAGCATCAGGATGTACTTTTGGGCTTCATTTGGAACACACAACCAATTTTCTTTTATACTGGAACATGAGACAGTTTAGCACCTATAGGTTATTAGTGATGTTATAGCAGTGGTTGCCATTCATTTTCTGAGATGCTTGTGCATATTGTCTTTTGGATGTAGGTAGAGCCTGATTTTCAACAAGTTCACAATGCAGCTAGTTGTCTGGTGTGCAAGCCAGTTTTGGGTCATAGCAGTAGCCTTTACAGCACATCTGAGAGATTGAATGAATTGCATAGGCAACCAAAGTATTTCAACTGGCGGTTGTTGTAGGTTTTTCGGGCTCTTTGGCCGTGTTCTGAAGGTTGTTCTTCCTGACGTTTTGCCAGTCTCTGTGGCCGGCATCTTCAGAGGACTGGAGTAGGAACTCTGTCCTTGCTCTGTCCACTCCGGATCCTGGCCATAAAAGCCTTCGAAAATACATATTTCAACTGTCTTTGAGAATGCATATTGCATACTGCTATGTGTTCTTGGTTCTACTGCATGAAGCAGAATCATGGAATTTAAGACAGGCTTCTATTTTTTTTTTAAACACCACTCTCTGACATACATTTTTCACAGAATGCTAAGAATTTATTGGATAGACACATAAGCACATAAAATGCAGAAAGCTAGAATAGCCCAGTTATTCAATGAGAAATTAAAAGTACATGTTGCAGCAACTAGGGACATGCAGGTGGGGAAACCTTTGGTTTCCTTCATTGCAGGAACTTTCAGGGGCTCCTCTGCTTTTTCAGGAGGTTTGCAGTACCCGGCCTATCAGCAAACCTTTGAAACACTTGGATCTTTCCATTTCAGGGAGCCTGGGCTTGGGAAATAGTGATGAGAGCATGAAGACATCAGAGCCTGTGGCTGTGGGAAGGAAATGGCAGGAAGGGGAAAGATAATTATGTATATGCATCAAATGGAGGTAATTTGATAGAAGAAATCTATAAGAAATCTCTAAGTTTCCTTCAGAATCTCAAATCTTATGGATTTCAGATGTTCTCAATCCAGGAAGCCATGAAAGACTCCAAATAGTGATGAGAGCATGAAGACATCAGAGCCTGTGGCTGTGGGAAGGAAATGGCAGGAAGGGGAAAGATAATTATGTATATGCATCAAATGGAGGTAATTTGATAGAAGAAATCTATAAGAAATCTCTAAGTTTCCTTCAGAATCTCAAATCTTATGGATTTCAGATGTTCTCAATCCAGGAAGCCATGAAAGACTCCAAAACGAGAAACAGAATCTCAAATCTTATGGATTTCAGATGCTCTCAGTCCAGGAAGCCACGAAAGACTCCAAAACGAGAAAGAGAGAGAGGGAGAGAGAGAGAGCCTCTTTCATGGGGGTTTTCATTCAGATCATCCCAAAGTCCAATCCCTAGCTACAACTGATCCTTCAGGGGGAAAAATGCAACTGGAAAAAGAGTTACAGGAGAAATTTCCCAGTTGAAAAATGTTGGATATTGATTTGGATGCAACACGGTATTACTGTCCAGAGCTTTCCCAGGCCAAGTCAGAATAGTGATTATTCCACCCAACCTCTGCTAGGAACCTAACATATCAGAACACTCCTTGGAAGAAAAAGTGGGATTACAAGGGACTTGTAAAGTTAGTGGGCCATGGCCAGTTTGCAGATTACAGGTCTGGAGACCATTTGCATGCATGCAAGCAAGAAAGCAAGCAAAAAAGAAAGAAAGAAACTTCCTGTGAGGGCAAATTACAGCTCTGCTGCCATAGTTAAACATCCAGTGTATGCTTACACATTTCTTACTTGTCAGAGAGTATGTAATTCATATAGTTTCATAGGTTACGACTGGACCTTTTAGATGCTTATGGTCCAAACTTCACAGAGGCCTACATTTACTGTGGTTGTGGTTATTCACACTGAGGAACAGAAATAGAGTAGTATGTATAGCATACATCAAATCACAATTTTGACAGCTACAACAGTATACATACTACTAAATAGGACTGCCCTTAAAATGGATTGCATCTCTTTGAGAGAATGTCATATACCTCATTCCAGCAGTGACTCTGATTTCTCAGCACAGATTAAGCTGAGTTTTTTTTTTCTACTTGCACTAAAAAAAAATTACCATCACTTTTTCATGGTGTTCCCAAAGGTTTTTCACAGACCTGAAATTTAATAGCATACAATCAGTTGTGCATATTAAAAATAGAAAAGATTGACACATCGTAGAGTATGCAGCCATATCATAACACATCTTTAAAAGGTTAGGCAATTGTAGCCCTCTAGGTGTTGTTGGAATACAAGTCCCATCCTTCATCACCAGTAACCATGATGCCCAAAGCTGATGGGAGTTGCAGTCCATCAACCTCTAGAGGACTGAAGTTCCCTCCCCCAAATATCATTTATTTTACACAACATTCCACATTCTGTAAAACATCGTATTGGACAAAACAGATGACTTTTGTTTTTAAGATATGCATCATCTCCAAACGTGTTACCATTGTTCAGAATGTTGTCTGTCAACTTTAATTGACTCTTACCGCACACCACACAGGGCGTTCAGATGACTGGCCAGTCTTGGGAACTAGAATGTAAACAAAACTGGGTAAGACTCTAGATCCCTTAGTACTATTCGGTTTTTGGCTAGATATATAGTAATTGAGATTGAAGGGGAGACTGCAAAAAGATTTTATTTCCAGTATTTAGAAACTGGTAAAACTGTGCAATCTTATGCCAGGATTCATGGTCTGCAAGGCTATCAGCTTAGCACTCTCTTACTCTTGCTGAAAAGCCACTAAGTAGAGAGTGACTCCTGGTTTATCAGTCCAGTAGATCTGATAATTTGCCATTTCTCTAAGTTCCCCAGGCCCCAGAAGACATCAACCAGCTAGCAGTGATGCCATATATATGGGACAGAAGAAAAAACGTAGACTTAGTATCCACAATTCATGGCATGAGTGGGCCTTAAATAAAACCCCAGAGGTTTGTTTTTCCCTTCGGGATTCTTGGAAGCAAAATAATCAGAGAATAAGTGAGGCAACAAAGATATTTATTACCAACTGGTATAGTGGTACCTCAGTAAAGTGGGTGTACAAAGACATGGAGCATTCACAGAGCTTCTATAGCATTCTTTTGACAATAAGGTGGGGATAGCAACTAAAACCACCAATCAGCAAGTTACATTGCAACTAGAGATGGGCACGAACCAGTTTGTCCCAGTTCATCCTGGTTCATAAAGGTAGCAGCTCCCCTCCCCTGCCCCCTCTGGCTCAAACAGCCACTTACCAGGCACAGCATGGTAGCTTCCTGCAGCTCCTCAGCTGATCTTCCAGTCTGTGCAACAGCTCACGCTTCTCAGCCTTACCCCTCTTGGCTGATCTCGTACTCAGACGAAAGGGTCGGGCAGAGAAGTCAGTGCTCTGGCTCACGACTGGAAGATTAACTGAGGAGAGGAAAAAACACTCAAACTGGGCCTGGTGAGTGGCCAGATCAGATGAGGAGGCAAGGGAGGAGAGCACCACCACCTGTACAGCTGCCTTTATGAACTGAGATGAATTGGGACAAACCGGTTCATGTCCATATCGAATTGTAACAGCTACAAAATAGGACAGGTACAATTGTCTACTTATATCTAATCATGTATACAAGAAAGGGTGGAATATGTCATAACAAATGTGGTAATTCATCTTCCCCTTAGAGATGCAGGTGGTCTTGATCAGACTTGGAAACTTGGAACAGATGTCTGTTACCCCATTCTGTAGTGAAGCCATTTGGCTGAACAGATTATGAACATTTGCCTGGGGCTACATTTCACAAAGGTAATAACATGCAATGGGATGTGCAATAAAATATAGAGGCATGTAGTTGATTCAATCATGTAGCAACTGTAGTGTTTGAAACAGCAAGGTCCAGTGGTCAGTGCATGACAGGTTATAGAATACAAAAAGAAATAAAGATCAATTTGTCATTGACGACACAAATATTTACTGTAAGTAGAAATATCCAGAATTAATTTTCCCATTATAGTTCTTTATTTGCATAGAGCTGTACTCTACATTTCTAAGAAGTATCTGAAATGGAGAGGTTTTACTGTATTACTTACCAGGTCTTAACGGTGTCCATCCCCTTCACCATAGCTTAGAGAACCTACAAGGCTGCCTGTTGTATATACCAAATTTTTGGACTTGTACCCATTCTTTCTCCTGTATGTCCCTGTTTCTTTAAAGTCTGATCCACCCTCAATGCCATCTTTTTCTCAGCTAGCAAACTAAAAGTTGCAGGGATTATCGCTTACTAAAGAATATAGCTTATATTTTGAGAAGGAGAACAAGATTAGTAGTATAAATGGCAAATGAAGACCCAAAGAGGTGCAAGACTCACCCAGGGCTTAACAATCTTGGCCAAAACCCTTTTCACTGTCTTTTGGATTCTCAACCAAGTCACTTGAGGCTTCAGTCTTGGATCCACAATATCTTTTTCACTGGGCAGAAGAAGAGAAAGAAGGCAAAAAATGGGAAAGACCAACTCCTTTGGGCATGCAGCAAATATATAAAATAGGACATCCTTGTCCTACTTTATGACAGCATTTGTGGGTTCACTCATCTTATTCCCTATTCCTGAAACATATGAAATTTAAAAAATCACCCAAAATACATATTTATACATACTTCCATGGTGTATTTACCAGAAGTAGCCACTAAAGGGAGCCAGAGACAATGCTATGTATAGCATTTGCTACTTCCATGTTTTTCGGCATCCACAGGAGGGCTGGAAACAATCCCCTGTGGTTTCCATGATCCTACAGTATATATATTCCTTACCATTATTTACACCCACATAGAACAGAGTATAATGTGGAACAAAAGCTGCCCCAGTCCAACACACTGACAATGGCTACTGTGTGTTTGTTGAACAGCTCCCCATTTTAGCAGGAAAACAGTTTAGATCCAAGATTTCTTTGACTGTTTGCCGTATTTGATTTGCGTTTTTTTTTCTACCACTCCCATGAAGTGTTCCTTTAAGGTTCATAATTACTTACAACATGGCCAACAGAAACGAGCCACCATCTGCAAAAATGCCTTTGAGAAAAAGTTCATCCATGGCATAATCCACTGAAGGTGGAGTGAAGGGAATGAGCTGTAAACAAAGGTTTATTTCATAAGGCAAGTGGCAACTAATTGTTGACAAATGTTTCTTCACAAACACATCTCTGCTCTTTTGTTACCAAAAAGGGTGTGCATTAAGTCTTTGCTGGGTATTTGTTTGCTCAAAGGGTGCACTCACATATATCCAATCCTACTTTTTCATAGAGAGATACAGTGGTGCCTCGCTTGATGACATTAATTCGTTCCAGCGAAATCACTGTAGAGCGAAAATGTCGTCCAACGAACTAAAAAAACTCATTGAAACGCAAAATGCCTGCTTGTCCAGTGAAGATCCTCCATACGGCAGCCATTTTTGGGTGCCTATCTTGCGAAAAACGGTTCCTAAAAACAGTGGGGAGCCATTTTGAGCAGCCGGTGGCCATTTTGAAAACCCGACGATCAGCTGTTTTGATCATCATAATGCAAAGAATCGGTTCCCAAAGAAGGGAACTGATCATTGTTAAGCAAAAAAAAACCCATTAAAACATCATTTTGCGATCGCATTTGCAATCACAAAAACATTGTCATGAAGCGTATTCGTCATTATAGGGGGTAATCATTAAGTGGGGCATGATTGTACAAGGCCCAAGAAGCCATGGACAGAGGGGGACATTTGGAACAGGATTGAAAACAGGGTTGCTGCAGTGCCAAAATCCACAAGATCAAAGTACCTGAATGACAAATCATCTGTCACCGCCTTCTTGGGGTTTTCTTGAGTTTATTTGCAAGAAATAGCTTTTCCCATTGCTGTAACTTAGCTGTCACTGTTATAATGCAAAGTATTTGGAAAAGATTTGGTCTTAAATGAAGAATTCAGATCTGTTAGCTCCATGAAAGAGTCACTCATGGTTGTGAGGAAAATTGCTAGTGCTGGTTTCTCAGTATGGATTGACACAGTCATCTGCATGTTTGAACCACCTTGAAGTACTGGCTTCCCAAACTCTCCCCAAGTTTGTGGGTGCTGGATTTATGAATTTATGGTGTGTTTATAGGGACTATCACAATGAATGTTTACACTGACAAATCTATCACTGCAACACTAGTTGAAAAGCCCTCTTCAACATTACCCTTTACTGACCCCATGAGGGTCTCAATCCTTCAGATATCTTGGAAAAGTTGCTTTTTTAACTACAACTCCCAGAATTTCACAGCCATCATTGACTCCATTGCTTCATATATATTCCAAACATATGTGTACAGAGGTTTAAGGGCAAGTAAGTTCTTTTCCTTTCCCTTGTGTAAAAACTGTGTGCATACATGCACAAATGTGTGTGCACACATACCTAAGTGTGAGGTAAGAACTAGTGTTGAGAAAGAGGGGAAGAGTCAACACTTTCCACATATTCTACTTAATTAAATCTCCTTGCTGTGGAACCTCTGTTCAGCTGTAGCTGCTGAAATTAAACCGGCAATGAGCTTTTTCCAGATTCTCCCAGAGCAAAGTCCTTCTCACCAGGTAAAGTGTTCTACTCACAACGTTCTGGAATGAGTACTATTAACCCAGATGTCACCTCAGTATTTGAACTGCTGTGCTTAACAACTATTGCTAGACAGCTTGGAAGGGCAGATGGAATACACAGGGCACATTTAGCAGCTTCCTTCCTTGAGATATGTAGAGACGGTGCACTATAAGTAGCAGCAGCAGTTCCAAATGTATCTACCCTATGACCAGCTTCTTGGAGGAGCATTCCTGTTTTATGCACAGCCCTCCTCATGCAGGGAGGGAGCAAGAAATAGCCATCGGTGTCGTAATATCCAATCCGAAGTGGTGCAGAACCTGCATATACCTAGGAAGGAAGAGAAACCTGTCAGATGCCACTGTTGGGGGAAAGTATTACTGTGGAATCAATCCATGGCAATCAAATTCTCATGTATCTGTTCTGCTGTTCTCAACTGGCATGTACAAAAAGACAAACCGAAAACTACAGATCTATTAAATAATCTATGAAATAATCTATACTTGGCATAACATTACATTTTGAGTGTCAAGCTAAGACTAGGGAAATTCAGGCTGAAATCCCACAATGGACACAGGGGGGATATGAATGACACACAGATGTCCCCCAAGTGCACTTAAAGCCTTACACGGTTTCAGACTATAACACCTGAACAGGGTTTATCCCTAATCTGCCTCGGAGAAGATGACTCCAGAAGGGAGTGTCACATATGCTGCCCAAGCACCTGGATGGAAAAGTGGCAAACAAATGTGAACATAAAGGGTATCAAGTTCCTCCTCCTTTGCTGTGTAACATATAATAATGGTAACATATGTGATCACAACACATTTTCTCTGCCCCCATCCCCAAAGACTCAGTGCTGGGTGGGGCCATAATATGATGACATCAAATGATAAGCTTGCATGACTCCAAATTCTAAGGAAGGGTTTGACATGGAAGCGATCATCTCTAAGAGGAGTAGCTTTAGCTCAGTGAAAAAGTGTGCAGTGGAAGTTTGCGCTTTGAATGCAAAGGGCCCCAGTTTCAATACTCAGTGTCTCCCATCAGGGCTAGGGGGAAATCCTGAACCCTTTGACAGCTGCCACCATACAGTGCTTACTGAGTTGGTCTGCCTTCCATGGCCGATGAGCCCCACCTACCCTGCCTGTTCTCTAATAGTGCAGAAGTGTGATCCGACCCTTAAAATTTTCCTGCCTCCCAGGTGTATGCAATGCTAATTGGCTTTCCTATTTACCATATTAGGGTCAGAGATAGAGTCAGAGAATATGAGAGTATATGTAAAAAGTATCTGTCAATTGATATGTTTTGTAGTAAAGCAAAGTGGGTTGGGGTTAAATCCTGCATCCATATAGTGCTGAATGAGGTGAACTCCAGTTTGGGTATTCTGTGCAGGAATTTTGCAGTGACTATCAAAGTCAGCAGTTGTGTATGTAGTTCCAGGAGCAATGTGGGCACTGTAACAGAATAACAGGTATTGCCATCTTTCATTTACCTCCTCGTTGAATGGCATAGGTGGCACAGTGGGATCCATCTGGAACATGTCCTCACATAAGAGAGCCTTCATGCAGAATGCCAGACTGTCCACATCCCTGGCCATGGGCCCCACAGTTCCTGCAACTGCAATGGAAATGAGAAGATGGACCCAAAGGCAAAAATCAAGCTGCTAAGACAGGCTAACATAGCTGCTTCTTTGGAAATGGCTAGTTATGCATAATGTATAATGGGTATAATGCAACCTGTGGGATCTGGGATCTGCAGAACAGATCCTGTGGAAACTGGTAGAAGAGGATAGGCTAGGTACTCCCACACATCTAGAGAGTGCCAGGATGGAAAAGGTTGGAATAGGAGGATAGAATGTCTGTCAGTCAATTTCATAATGACTTTCTCAATGCTTGCATTCTGATTAAAAAGAACAAAGGAAAAATAAATGAGCATATATCTACCACAAGAGACATGTGGAGAACCAACTGAAATATGGGAAAGTGACTGCTTTGTTAGGGATGGAAAAATATGTCAGGCTTTGTTGTTCAATTTTTTTTTAAGCATAGGCCACAATCGCGCATATTTTTACAGCATCCATGCTAGTCCTTTTCTGGCATTTGGTTAACTTCCCCCTTGCACATGCAGAAGTCCCATTGCTTTCCATAGGGTAGTCTCCAGCATGCACAGCTGCCACCCACACACGCATCTTGCTCACACAGAGGGTAGAAGCTCTCACATTTTGGCAAAGTCTTCAAAAAACAAAAATGAGACTCAGTGCAGGGAAGTCCAGTGTGGGGAACCACCACATAATTATTAAAAATGAGCCCCTCTGTCTCTCTCTCTAAAAAGAGAGTGAGAGCGAGAGAGAAAGATGGCAACTCAAATTCAGCATGAACATACTTGAATGCATACAGATTAAGTCCCAGACTTTTAGGAGTTATGTAGCAAGCACTGAGGACCTGGGCTACCAAATCTTGTCAGTTTTTATCTGCCCCACTTTTCTTCAACAACAACAACAACAACAGTAGTGCTTCTTTCTTGCCTGGATAGAAAGACATTCATAAATTTGGCAAATTCTTATGAAATGGAATTCTCCCCAGTCCCTACAGCTGATCTTGCTTCTGACTTATTGATCCAAAGGGTGATTGTCAAATGGGAATCATGTCATGGGTGAGCGTTGTTCCAAAGTTATTCTACGTTCGTTACTTTTGAAAGAGCAAATAATTCCCCTGCCCAATTTTATCTTTATTTGGACCACCATCTTCTCTGACTTCTTTCTAATTTGGTACAGAAAAAAAAAAGATCATTTACCTGAGAGTATTCCATCAATCGGACCTTTGACTCCTGAATTGCTGTGGAACATAGAAGTAGCTGATAAAAGCAAATACCTAATAAAAGCAAATGGCTGATAAAAGCAAATCCAAAAACATTTACCACCAACTTCTTGGAGAATGGTGCCAACCAATTTACTGCCCAAACTGCACATTAAAATCAACACACTTTTTAAAATGGTCTACTTGAACTGGTCATTTTTATTGGGAGAACAAGCAACTGCAGAGTCCTCTTACCAAATACCTCCCGGATTTTCTACATGATCCCTAAAAAAATGCTGGGATGGTTTGGTTCTAACGTTTTGGAACAAAAGATACATGTTTGCTACAGAGATAGGAAAACAGCCAACCCTACTTTTTAACAAAGAGCCACATACCTGGGTGCCTAAACATTAGCCTCAAGTAGTAGGCTAAATTATGAAAAACTATCACAGGTTTTACATACATACTTACTAATTATTTGGGGCAATAACAATACACATCACCACAAAATGAATCCAAAACTCTTAAGGAGGCTCTGCTTTAACATCATATAGTCTGACTCCAAGGGTCTTACTAGAAAAGACACCAGTTTATTAGTCAGTAATTAGGAGGCTGCATGACTTTCTTTGTATGTCTAATGTCTCAGACACAGTAGTACGGAAAGATATGTGCTGACTGGAGGGACAGCAATTGTCATAATGTGTGATTTGATCCTTGGTTTGATGTTGGGAAGCTTTAAAATGTTATCCAGCAATGTTTCCTGGAACAGAAACATTTGCTGGATAACTTTTTTGGGGGGAGGAATCAGATGTGAATCATTTCCTGCATAAGTGTGCATGCATGCACTGGAAAAGTAACTTAACAAAGAGTCACTTAGTGAGTAGACCTTTTTTTTCCCCCTAAAGTTTGAGAGCCATCCATCCGGTCACTCTATTATCTAGCTCACTGGTTCTTAACCTTTGTTACTCAGATGTTTTTGGACTGCAACTCCGAAGCCTTCACCATCAGCTCTGCTGGCTGAGGTTTCTGGGAGTTGCAGTTCAAAAACACCTGAGTAACAAAGGTTAAGAACCACTGATCTAGCTAAAGAAGATGACGGTATTTCCAACATGAAGAAAGTCTCATGAGGCCTTAAAACAGACGCTGACTGTTCGCCTATCAAGGATACTGCAAATGTAGATCTCCTGCATTAGGACCAATGTCAACTAACCACCATCATCAGCCCTTCATAGGCTTAGGTACCATTTACCAAAGACAGCCCAAAACTGCTCCAGATAACAATTTCCTTCCTTCAGTGTGCAAACTATCCAAAGACAGCCACCTTATTTTTTAAGCACATGAGGAAAAAGATATCACATTTATCTCACTTCAGACTTTGCAGTAGAATTACAACAATAACAAACTAATCAACTAGCAATTTCCTACTTTTCATGGCACTAGCTCAGGCAATTGATTCACTGCAGCCAATGGTAGGACTGGCTCTACAACATACTGTATCACTATCAGAGAACTCCATCCTCACCATGGCAGAAATAAAAGGCCAGTTTTCCCAAAAAGGGTATTTCCATGTGCGCAAGTGTTCTGTTATTATATCCTTTATTCCAAATTGATGGGTTGTGGGGTGGGGGTGATTAGAAGTTACAATGAGTGACTAGTGTTAGCGCACAGAGAGGCGCAAGTGTTCTGTTATTATATCCTTTATGTCAAATTGATGGGTTGCGGGGTGGGGGGTGATTAGGAGTTACAATGAGTGACTAGTGTTAGCACACAGAGATGCTGGAGAAGGTTAGTCCATGGCAAGGAGGGTCAGTATGAGATGGGATGTCACATTTGCAGAAGGACTAAAAGGGAGTGAATTGGTAGTAGCTGTTGTGAAAGCTTTGCTTCCCATCTGGATGATGTGTTTATCTCCTTCCATTTGGTTCAGAACCACTGGACTAGATTACCTGGAGATCCCTTCCATCAACTGGACTCAATGCTTTGGGTAAAAGAATGTCAATGATTTGCAGAGTGGGGCAGTAGTTTCAGTACATACCTCAACCTTCCCGCTGTTGGCTTCAGCCCACAAATGCCACAAAAGCTGGAGGGTATGCGAATACTTCCACCTATATCTGAGCCAAATCCCAAAATGGACCCTCCTCCAGCAATCAGTGCACCTTCCCCTCCAGATGAACCACCAGGGCCTCTTTTATGATCAAGAGGATTCATTGTCTGGCCAAAAATTGAATTGCTGCAATCATAGCTATAAGGAGGAAAAGGGGGAGCCAGTTATTTTTCTTCAGGCTGGGACAATGGGACAATGCATGTAAAACAGAAAAAGAGCTGGCCAATTATTTTTTTAAAAGTAATTATTGCCATTACAACAGCTCCAAAGTAATTAATTGTCATTACTATTTCCTTTCTCAGTATTCAAAGGAACCACAATTACCTTTCGTTACTTTTTTTTAAAAAACCCACCCAAGATTAACCCACCCAAGATTTTTAAACAGAAACAAACCGGAGAGGTAGGAAAGAAGAAAGATAATCTTTTTCCTTCTTCCTCATCTGATCTGCTAGGAAAAACCTAGCCAAGCATTGTATGAAGCTGCTTGTTAACTGAGGGTCAAAATTGGTTGCAGAATTTTTGGTTACATTCCTGTAGCTGCAAGGAGAAGTGCAGGGATTCCCAGAGCAGAATAGCTTTAAATTCCACAGATTAGTCCACTCCTTTTTTCATTAACAGGCATTTATAATCTCCATAACTCACTCTGAGATATTAATAGCAGAAAGAATAAAAACCATTTTCTTTACTTACACTTGTGAACAGATCGAACAGCAAACTAAGAAAACATGATGACTTTCAGCAACAAACTTCAACAGTCTCACTTTAACTGTCAGAAATCAACAAGGGGGGACTCAGAGCGGGGGGTGGGGCAGCTCCCCTTGCATTCAGAGGCCAGAAAGGATCGATTGGTGAGTGCTGGACAGATTGACACTCTCCAGCCCAGAAAGGACCCAACCAAACCTACTAAAGCCACATACGATGTTGCAAAAACTCCAACCAAGTCAGATGCTATAGACAGTGCATCATTAGAAACAATTGGCACGTTATTAGAAGATCTAAGAAAAAGGTTTAACCATTCAGTCCTCCCCCAGCATCACGTGTGTGCTGTCAGAATGCAGGAGTGTTTGACTCCTGGAAACCAATCAAATGATGCAAACTATAAGAAAAGAGACACAACAAGCCAGGATGTAGCTCAAAGTGGCAGTTTTTTAATAAAATACAGAAAGAAAGAAAATCAGATCGCTACTTTCAGTTTCTATTGGGGGGAGTAGATAGGTCTTGTGGGTCCACCTATATGAAAACTGCTGCTCCTGGAGCAGAAATGGGTAAATGTTTTTGGTGGGGGGAAAAGGTTTTATAAAAAAATTAAGTCACTGTGAGGACTGCAAAAACATCCCTGGGGAACTGCATGTTTCCCTCCTCTGGTTCAATTGAACCCCAAGGCTAGAAGAACCAATTTCCCCCCCCCCAAAAAAAAAAACAAGTTTCTGGAATCACAGCCATGAGTTCTGTGTTTTGCACTAGCCTGCAGGGTACTCCAGCATTCTAGCATTTAATCTCTCTAGGCTCTCGGAGGCTGCTCATCCCTATTGTAACAGGCTAAGCAAAGCTATTTACATGGCTGATCTGTACTCACACTGAAAAAGAGAAGTATGTTGCATTGCTTACATTAACTTACTTGAATAAAGACTGTGGAACATTTGTGAGGACAAAAGGAATTGCTCCTTGCTTCTTTAACACCTTGACCAACACACTGTCCTCTTCTTGCAGAACACCAAGAAAATGAGCAAGCCCACATGTTGATAAGTGCCCCTAAAAGGGAAAGACGCTTGTTAAAAGCTTGGGATTCTTTTCTCTTTTTTTTCAAATTTGTGAGAAAATATTAAGCAACACCTTAAGGAAAGGCTAAATTAACATTTTAAACTAATTCTGCACTTCAACGGCTATCTGTTATAAACCACACAGCTTCCTCCAGCAATTATTTTCTCTGCCATTTGTGCCAATTGTCTGAAAAAGAATTTTGTACCACTTAAAAATATGCACAACGTATACAGCAAGAGACACATTACCCGTTGTCACATTTTCTTGGTATTGTAGATCAAAGGCCATTTCCTGAGACAATGGGGTGAAACTCCATGACAGCTGTACTTATACATATCCATATGATCAAGCAAGGATACAAGAGAAGAGACAAATAGTTTTTTAACACAGAAATGGGACTATGAAGCTGTTAAGTGCTTCAGTTAGTAGTTCCCTGGCCAGGGTAGTAGCTGTAGGCCAGGGGAGCTTGGCTGACATAGGTTTGCTAAAAGGACTGGCTGGGAATCTGTCAAAGGAGGCAACAATTCAGCACCATGAAATATTATAGACAGCTGGGTGATTCATATATATAAGTTACTACACTTGGTCTCTCTTGAGACTCTTAAAAATGAACTGGAACAGGAGTTTAAATATACATACACTACACAAAACTTTCAACAGAAATTTCCCTCATATAGAATTACCCATTGCTAAAGGATTCCAGAAGATGACCACATGATCTGTACTGTGGTTACTGGGAGAAGACAGAAGGAAGAAAAGTTTAGATGTGGCTGTAGTCCCTCTGTACCAAAATATTTTGAAAGGCTATTTTGGACTTAATGAAATAGTGAAGCAAAGGTGTGAGTAGGTACAACGTGAACAATGGGGAAACATAAACATCCTTTAACCTCTTGGTTAAACTAATGTTGCCAATCTGCAGAATGCAGATTAGAAAGCTGTGTTCCATTTTCCAAACCCTTTCCTTGAGTTAGGCAAGCTGAGGAAGGAAAGCTGTATCAGACCAAAAGCTCTAGGTAAATGCTGCGTGCATGTTTTTCAAAATATGTCCCTTCATTTTTTGAAATTAAAAAAAGGGGGAGAGGTTGGTGTCCACAAAGAATGTCGATGGACACTAAAGTCAAAATCAACCATACTGTGTGAAAGAAAGACAGCGAAGAAAGACAGGGATAAAAATTAACTCATTGGAGATGTGGTGTTGGAGGACAGTCATACATATATGAAAGACAGCCAGATAAGCAGGAAAACAGGTGCTCAATCAAGTCTGAACTCTTACTTGATCAAAAATTAAGCCTATCCTACCATGCACGTATAATGGAAATACAGAAGTGGCCAGAATATACTACATTGCTGGGAAAAGTGTGGGAGGAGCAACAGGAAAAGAGTAAGACCTAACATGAGATGGTTTGGTTCCATAGTGGAAGCCACAAAGCAAAAACCAGCAATTTCACAACTTAAATAAGTAAGCCTCTGAATATTTTTTCTCTGTTTTCAAAAATAGGTTTTATATATTTTTACATCAGAAAGAGAATCTCTTTTTAATGTTTGACTAGGAAGGAGTTAAAAAGTTCTCCTCCTGAGAGTCATTTAATTTGGTCCTGACTGGCAGGGTCAAAAGTTGAGATCTTTCTGCTCTCAAACTCCCAACATTGTTTATATTTAGAATGTTCATACTGATAAGAAAGTTAGGGTTTTAACCTTTGAAAATACCTTCCTTTTACATTTAAAAATTAAAACTTCAAAAATTGTTGGCCCCCCAAATCTCAAAATTTACCACAAAGCAAGAGCAGACATCTGTGTCAAATGTGATGCTGATCTGAAGTCCAGCATCAAAGTTATAATTTTTGTTTAGGGTGCCCCCATTTTTTTGGTTGCTTATGTAATGCTGAATTGCACCATTGCACAATATCTATTGATGCCCTCTTATGCAGCAATAATAATATCTTGTGAAAGGATTATAGGACATGTGTAACCTCTGTGTCTCACAGAAAAAAGAATCACCTTATATCCAATGTGGTCCTTAATACTGATAGGTATGCCATGCAGTAAGCCCTTTGCCTTCTGCTTTTTTATTTCCTGGAGCTGTTGTTCACATTCTGGGATAAAATGGCGCACACAGTTTGTCTCCTGGGTGACAATTAAAGCCTTTTCAGTGAGAAAAAAATGGGCAAGAATTAATTGCATACATACATACATACATACATACATACATACATACATACATACATACATACATACATACATACATACATACATACATACAGCTAGCTTATGGATTTGTTTAATATACTATTTTTACTCATGGTAGCTTGAATCTACAATAATTTCCCTGCCTTCAGCAACTGCTGGTATGGTTTCCCATAATTCATAGAATCAATCCCCCAGCTCTTACTGTCTCACCAGTGGCAATGTCTTGCTTCTACTCTTATTCTTTGCTACTCTTCCCATGGGGAAAAGTATGTTTCGCTCTTTCTCTCTCTTTCTCTCTCTCTCACACACAAATATGTATAAATATAATGGCCAGAATCCCATTTAATATTTGTGCAAGGGGACCTTAAAACTGTGGAAGCTGAAGAGCTGGTTGTGAGTCCAGCCACAGACAGCTACCACCTTGTGCAGTCACTGCAGCAGCTTTGGGAGCTGAAGTTGAACAGTCTACTGACCAATGTACTGTATATACAATCTATTTTTGCCCAATAGAAGCAGAAATAGAACCAAGGGTTAGAATTAAAGGAAAATTGGCTCAACTCTCATTCAGCCTGAATCTGTCCAAAAATAAAACAAATGTTGTAGTGTTGCATGTTAAATTCAGTATCCCATTTCTTCTCAGAATTGCTACATTTTTAATTATGTATCAGTATTTCCTGTTCCAATTATACAAATAACTTGCAGAAAAGAGAGGGAACTTAACCTGGAGGAGTTCTCTAAGAAAGGGGGCCAGTGATTTTGAGTTATATGTGTTAAGAAACTGGCAAAATTATTCTTTAGGTTGAGAATTCCATAATGACACACTTGAGAGGCAAGGCCCCTATTCCTAATTTTGGAAAGAGATGCCTCTATAGCAGGCAACCTAAGTTTAGTAAATCATGTTGCATAATACGATAATTCAAGCCAGTGTTTGGGCTGCCTTAAAGGTACTGTATATCTATATCTATATCTGTATTTCTGGAGGAACATTTTAAGTAACTGTATCATTTTTCTTACCTTCTCCATATAGGTGTAAAGGACAGTTTCAGCAGACAAGGATTCTTCCTTCAGCTTCTCAGCCAGCTCAGCCAGAGGCAAAGAAAGGATGCAAGCACTTTGTGTTACGGGGTTCTGTAAGGACAGCATGCAGCGTATGAACTATGGTCAAGGACTGTAGAACAGGAGTAAGCAGCTGTGGTCCTCCAGATGTTCTTAGTGCACAACATCCAGCAGTCCCAGCTAGCATAGCCAGTGGTGAGAGATTATGGGAGTTGCTATTCCAGGCATCTGAAAAGCCACACTTGCCTATCCCTGCTGTGGAGTTTAAATGGTGCCAAAGATGTATCAATGTTTCTGCTATATAGAACCCCATACCTCTATTTTGCTTCCATACAGCTTGTGGAAGCAATGCTATGAATCATGAGTTGAGATGAGCACAAACCAGAAACATGATGGATCAGGCTGATTTGTGGTTCATGGCTAACCACAAACAACCACAAATCCCCAGAAAAATGAACTGGTTTGGTGTTCATTTTTCTGGTTCATGCCTGGGGAGGAATCTACCTGCTCCTGCCCTCCGTCCCCCGCCTGCCCCCTTCCCACTGCCCCTGTCACCTCCCTTCCTGGTCCTGCTCCTGCCGCTGCCTCCTCCATCACTGCCATACCCAGAAGCAGCAAGCCCAGCCTCTCTTCCCAAAGCCAGGCCTTCTGCTTCCGCACCCGCACCTACTGCCCAGCTGATAGGCCACTGCATGCACAGAGGCAGCAGGCCAATTCCTCAAAGCCAGGTCCAATGCCTTTGTGCAGTGGGAAGTGGCAGATGGGCATCCCCTTTTGCCAAACAAAACAAAAGCACCAAAGGGGGGAGGGAAGTTTTGCGCTTCACTTTGTTACAGCAAAACAGGATTCCCAAATGTGATTGTGAAACGAACCACAAACCAGCCTGATTCATTGGTTTTTCTGGTTCGTGGTTTGGTTCATGCCCATCTATAATCATGACCTAGTGATGTTTCTATGAGAGATTCTGTTCCAGGAGTACTGCCACCAAGGTTTTTCAGCTAGGCCCTTGAAGCAGCACAAGATGAATGTCAGTGGCCAGAGTAAAGGAACAGACCCTTAATTATTTTATATTTTAATGGATGTTGGCATAATTCCCGGGTTGAAGCAGTGAAGAGCTACAATGGTTCTCCTAGCCACTGCATCCTACACAGCATCAGGTCTCGACAGACCAGCAGCAGAAAATAATCTGATTCTCACTGGAGAATTGGTGGATATGCAGATGCTCCATTAAGATCAAGTGTCCAAGAGCTCTTCTGTTCTAACACAAAGCACGGCCTTCACCACATTCTTCCCTCCTAAAGGAAAGTTGGCTTTTTTAGCTGCCACAGCTGAAGCAATTGGCACAAGATGGTTCTTGGGGGAGTCAAAACAAACAAACAAATAAAAAAACAGGAGCCATCAGAGGTGTGTGTGCTTTTATATTTTGCCCATAGCTAGTTTAAAGGTAAGACCTTCAGCTGTAAGTTTACAAAACCCCTCAATGCTACCAAATATCCCTTTTGTTTCACAGGAGGTGAAAAGAAGGAAAAGTGTTTCACCGGGCTTTAGTTAAAAGGTTAAATACATGTTAAAAATGAAACAAGGTAATTGTTTGCTGGTTGGTCCATTCACATTTTAGTACTTGTGATAGCCTTCTTTTCTGCAGCTATGAATTGTCCTGCTGACAAACCAACAAACCATACAGAGCACCACAGTGTAAGCTGTCCTCTGAAGTTGCCGGCCACAGAGACTGGCAAAATGTTAGGAAGAACAACCTTCAGAACACGGCCAAAGAGCCTGAAAAACCCCACAACAACAAACCATACTTTAGTTTCTCCATATCTGATCAGTTTATTTCATGACAACTACTCTTTCAAAGTTCTTTCTGTTGAGTTCAGGAAGAAATGTGCAGATTCTGATAAGCTTTTATGAAATGAATAATAATTAAAAAGAAGTTTGAATATCAACGGTGGTCAAATTCATTAGGTACTGCTGGTCGCCAGATAGAAAACATTCTGTTGTACAAGACTGCTGTGTCATTAGTAAGGATGAGGAGCACATCAACACCACAACCATGGTTGAACACAACTTGATTATCAGGTGCTTAGCATTCAAATCCCTATGACTGAATGGATGAATGTGACATATGAATTTGTCACATTTGAATTTTTTTTAAAACCCCACCTTCTTTCCATCCCAATTATGTAGAAATTTGTGAATTTTGGGAAGCTCCAATCAGAAAATAAACCAAACAAAATATTCACTCAGCCTTTCTCCAAATTATACATGGTCAAACTTCTGAGTTCTATGTTTTAGAAGTCCCCTTTAGTAAATTAATTAAAATGTGCAAAACTGCAATAAGTTATCAGTAACCAAACACTGTATACTGTATATTAAATCAATTTGTCAGTCAGCTTGTGTCCCTGGTTTGAGAAAAGGCATCCTATATATAAAGTAAATAAATGTATGAATAATTTTTTTGTTTCCTGAAATTCTACTCCACCATAAAATAATTGCTAAAACTTGAGTGAACAAAAATTTAGAATATTAAATTATATATGCATATGCTTTGGGGGATGTACAAGTTACCTCCAGCTTAAATCTCTGGACAGCTTTTTCCATTTGTCCCAAACCATGGTCTCTCTTGCTTCTCGCCTCTTTTATTTGTCTTTTTATTCTTTCCTGGCCCATCCATTTCAGTGCCAAGAAAGCTGCAGAAGAGCTACAAGCCAGACCAAAGATAACACGAAGATCCATTTTGATGTAGGACCATGGCTGCTTCATCCATTCAGGCATCATGATCAAAACGTCTTGCAGCATACTGGAACCAAATCAGTGGTTGAGGTTCGCAGATCTTGAAGAGGGAAGATATGGAAACCATCAAATTTAACCTGTATACGTGTGACTTTTTCCAATCCTTGATCATTCAAAAATCATGTTAAAAGTCAAAGTTAGTACCCAGATGAATTAAGGTACACAACACTGGTGTGCTACAGGATGATTCAAAGAGGAATACAAACGCAGAGGAAAGACTAGCTTTTGGCCTATATGGCAGAGGAGGGCAGGACTAATTAATGGGTTCTGTTTAGTCCACATTCCAAAACTTACCTTGAACTATAGATCAAAACCATAAGAAAAGTCAAATTCTACGCAAGGTTCTACAGTCTATTCCATATCAGAAAAACAAAAGAAAAAAAAATGTTTCTGAAGAAGTCCACAAAACTTGCATTAAAATATAGAAGTTAGTCTTTAAAGTGCCACTATATTTTTGTCTTCCTTCTCCTTCTTCTTTGTTTTTGCCTCTTCTAACACTACATTCTGTTCCATGGACCACGAAGCCACCAAACTGGCAGATGCAAGATCAGAAGGACAGCATCATGACACCAGCCCTGAAGACTCATACCAAAGGCCCATCTAAGTCATCTATACGTTCCCTGTACTGTGGGCCAATGTAATAGACTTCCCCTGCCCTTGCTCTAATCTACAGCACCATGGGCAAAGTGCAGCTGATAGGCTACATGTCATCCCGGAGGCTTTTGTGACCCTTCTTCTGCCATTTCCCCTGGATTGGGTGTGAGAAAAGGAATGTGAAAACAACGGTGAAGCAAGCTGAAGGAACTACACAATGCAGGCAAAGAGCCAGAAGCAAAAGTTTCTCCAGCGGTTTTCTCACATCATTAGGGAAGTCATGGAATGTTCATATAACAACCTCTGTTGGATGAACTCGCCCTGTTTACAGATTAAAAATTGGCTGTTTCTCTCCTCGCAATGGAAGTTCTGGTCCAAAACATTCCAAGGGTACCAGGTTGCCATCCCATGCTAACACATACAGGAAGGAAGGGCGCAGCTTCAGATCCTCAAGTGGTAGGTATTCTGTGGATTGTGCACAAAGCACACCTCGATCTGCTCCTGTACTGATGAAGGGCAACAACTTCTCTTAGGTGGTTCCCCTCACTTTCAAAAATGGCCATGTACTGTAAACGTATCCCTCTCCTCCTGGTGGCACATTGTTTCTCATCTACTGCTGCATTCTCAAGCCTAAACTACTGGCCACCTCTTGGATCCCATTGTGGAGCACCATTGGCTGCTTCTCTTGCTTCACTCATGCCTTCCTTTAGACACTACTTCCCCTTTCTGATAGGAGGATTTACACAGTTCACAGGAAACAAATACAAAGGATTACAGCATGTAGGAGTGGGGACCTATACATTTGTGTGAGCACAAACACCCACCACAACCATGACCCTGCCATCATCTGCCATAAAGACAACAATGATACATGCACACATGAAACTGTTGCATATGCTGATAAAATTAGGCATACAAATAGACAATCAACAATCTTAAACAGAGAAAGATCCAGACATATTTACATGCTTTAATTTTTTTAATTACATGCCATCAAGTCAATTTTGACTTAAAGTCTTCTAGGTACAGAGTACTCAGAAGTAATTTACCATTCTCTTCTTCTGGGGGTGCGTGGGACTTTGCAGCTTGCCCAAGGCTACAGGGGTGGGCTTTTCTCCCAGGAGAGACAGTGGGGAATTGAACTTCTGACTCCTGGCTCCACAGCCAGGTATTTCAGTTCACTGATGCCACTGAATAATATGTACAATGTAATATTGCATGCAAAAAGTAATGAATACACCAGTGGGGACAGTGTGATTCATATAGAAGCCCTACTACCTTTATCCTGTCTCTCTCACTTTCCCCAGTCCCATTTATAGAAACTGACCAGAACAAATACTGCTTTTCTCATCCTTCCTGAATTGTGCTATCCTACAATTCAAGTTCTTTAATTTTGTGACTTTCCTATGTTGTCTAGTTTTCCTCCCCCTTTCCACAAGAAACACATGCTTACCTTCCACTCTCGTTTCTATCTCATAACTCGAAGTCACAGAGTTGACCCAAACCATTCACAGTAGGTGGAACCGCATTGACTAGCTGGACAAGATTATCAGGAAAACATGGGAGGCTGGGCTTTGAAAAACAACCTTCTTGGCTTCCCACAAGCCCTGCTGCTTATTTAAAGCAGCTCATGCAGTGAAAGAATGTAGACTTGATCCAGAAAGTATGCAGGGAAGCCTGGCAGGATGGTTTCCCCAGATTTGGATCAGTTTGTGCAGTATAAACTACAGTTTCTAAAAGCAACCTAAAGTTGGAATTCGACAAATATGGTTCTCTGTAATGAAATACTGTAGAGAGAAATATGTGTATGTTCTGTTTCGGCCAGCCAGGAACTGCAGCCTATTTGTGCATAGCTTTGCTACACCATAACTCTTTTTTTTAATGAAGTGGGGTACAGTTTGTGAAACTTTTGACACAAGACTCTTTGTTACTTATAACCTGTTAGTTCCAGACTAACTGTACAGTGTAGCAACACTGCAAAAGAATAGGTGTAAAGAAACTAGAAAATTGAGAGAACAGTGGTTTCAGATACCCTTTGAAATACAGGCTTGTTAGCTTGTACCTGGGATGAGCAGGCCAGAAGAATGGGAAGAGCTTTAATTTAACTTAGTCTTTCTTAGGAGAATGCTATGCTCACCTGATGGTTTGTATTCTGCATATGTTCTGCAACCATGGTGAAGTTCTGCTTGAATATGAGTACTAGCATAGGACAGATAGCATTCTTATTTTTTGTAGGAAATGCTCTGGAATTGTCTTTGCCTCAAAATCTTTTGAATGCTTATTTGCTCCACAATCTTTTTGATTGATTTTGGGATTTTTGAAACTATGTTTTGAAACTATTTGGAATGTTACTCTTTATTACTTCTTTTTGGAACATCTTCAATAAAATAAAATTTTATAGCAATGTGATTATTTTGGGTACTAAAGAAAGTATCTTCCCTCAGTCAACTATTGGATACCTTACATTGTATGGGCATTTTGGTTTTCCTGCCTGGCATAGTTGGTGTACAGTCTAAACTGCTCAACCTTGTGAATTTTTGGTAACTCCCTGAACACTGAGCAGTCACGGTGACTCAAAATGTTGGAAGGGGTGCCAGGAAGGAAGATTTTCCCCAGCCATCAGCATATCTGGCTCTCCTGGAATTTACCCACACCAGGAATTTTTGGATAGTGTAGCTGAGTGGTTTGTGTGGATCATCCATAACATTGACAATAGGTAACTTTGAGGGAGATACATACTATCTCACCAGCCCATTGGGAGCTACAGTTTGCCAGCTACCGAATCGCAGTGTTAAAAGCAGTTGCAAAATGCATAGCTAAGCAATTGCAAAAGGCATGACATGAAGGATGCTCCTTGTTTTAAGAGAGAACTGTGCTTGCCTTGCTGGCAAAGAGAACTGCAGAGGGAGGTTGTTGCTGTGCTACCATTAAAATCCATCAGTGCGGGTGCAAATTTAAAGTAGTCATAGTAGCAGCATCTGGTCCATTAGGGCAAATGGGACACTGCCCCCATAACAAGCCCAAGCTACTGGCAACCAACATAGTCCTGACTCCTTTCTATTGGGCAGGTGTATTATGCTTATTAGGATGGCTCTGTGAGTGAGTGAGAGAGGGGGGGAGGGAGAGACTGCCTGTGTGTGCATTGGCTGCTGTGCCTTCCACCTATCCAGTCATAATGAACACCAGTTAGCACTGAGCAATGGGGTAGAAAAACAGATGGAAACATATGCAACCTTAGATTCAAAAGAAGATTAGATTAGATTAGGCATCTTTCAGTCTCGAGAGACTATGGTAAAGTGCTCTGAATAGAGGACTTGGAACAGCATCTAGTGTGGCTGAGAAGACCAATTTGAAATAACATCAACTGTGGGTCCTGATGGCAATTTTAATTGTATTTTAATTGTATTTTAATCATTTTATCTCTTATTGTATTGAATTTTAATTGCTGTAAGCCGCCCAGAGACCTCTGGGTAGAGTGGGCGGCATATAAATTAAATAAATAAATAAATTAAATAAATGAATTCAAGAGTGACAATCCCTTCCACACTGAAGACAAATACAATCTGTCCCCTGTCCAGCTGCCTGATTTTGCTGGTTTCAAGACTGCCTCTTTGCCTTCGCCTGCTGGACAAAAATCTCTTCAAAATGGGAAGGCCATGCTGTACCACCTGCCTCCAGGCTGAATGCTCAGATGTCAAGGTTTCCCATCTGTTGATGTCCATTCCTAAGGCCTTCAGATCCTGCTTGCAGATATTCTTGTATCACAGCTGTGGTCTCCCTCTGGGGTGCTTTCCCTGCACTAATTTTCCATACAGGAGATATTTTGGAATCTGACCATCAGCCATTCTCACAACATGCCTGAGCCAGCGTAGACATCACTGTTTCAGTAATGTATACATGCTAAAAATTCCAGCTCGTTCTAGGACTACTCTGTTTGGAACTTTGTCCTGCCAGGTGATACCAAAAATGCACCGGAGACAATGTATATGGAAATATGCAATCAGTGGCCCCACATTACTCATCCCTGTTTGAAGAGGCAAGCCCTAGTGACCTTGGTGATTTTCCTATAAACAGGATTCTTCTGTAAGTGGATTCATTTGAGAATTTATCTGGTGATGCTGTATTGCAACACTCTTATCAGTAAACTGCATATGTTTACCATATTTAAATCAATCCCATAATCCTCTGTGTATATAGGATAGCCCAATTTCTCTGACAGAAATAAATCAGATTATATGGAATATGTGTATAACTCTTGATGAAAACATGCGATGGTACTGGGAGAACAGTAAAAAGTGAGGTGAATAGACCTGCAGAGGAAAATGTATCTGGCTTTCTACAGTTACATGTGATTGTGAGGAGTCAGGATACACATTGGAACCAGGGTTCAAATTCAGCTACAAATGCCACAGGATGGCCCTAGTAATCCTTAACTGTCCTTCAGCATAACCTGTCTTCAAAAGAATTGTAAAAAAGGAGTTGCAATATACTTTGTGAACCTGAGAAATGGTGTAGATTAATAATATCATAAACAAGAATCTTCTGTAACAACACCATAGTCAAAATCTGTAAGAAACTAGAAAGTGCTGAGTTGATGATAGCATCCCAGTGAAAGTCCAAATGAAAAAAAAAGAACAATGACAACAGCATGTTTTTTGTTTGGAATATACTCAAAAAAACCTTGGAAAGTGCTTCTACATGAAACTTTATCCTGTTTTTTCCTCAGAATTGTAGAGGAGATCCAATATTGTATTTTATTTCTAGCCCAAAGTTTCCTGCTTACTTTTTCTTTTCACAGAAAAAAGTCTGTTAAGGTGGGAAAGACAGAATAGCTGCTCTGTGTTTTTTGATTTGTACCAAAAGGAACTACTGGCCTGGAAGATTATGGCTGATCTCATGTAAGTATTGCTATTCATGTTGCATCAATGAATGTTCACTGCTTCCTAAACTATAAGCTGAGGCATCCACCCAGTACACTTGAAGAGTGCATTGATGAATACAGAACTCTGCAAATTCACCAGTGGTATGAAAAGAAACACAACAATAAACCAAAGAATGCAACAAAATGTTTATTTGCTGATATGATTACTTCCTTGCAGACTCCCTTCCAAGGAGCTCAGATTTTCCTCCTCCCCCTCCTTTCAGTGGAAACTATCTCCACTTCCTTCATGAATCGAAGGCACAGCTCCTCCTGCCATGGCAAGGCCACACACTGGACAGCCACAGGAAGCCCCACACCACCTTCCACAGCCTGCAGGAGACAGACAAAGCACAAGAGGGGCACTGATCATTCTTCCACTGATAGTTATCAATAGGAAATAGGTTGATTTACATTTTCCTGAACAACTAACACACACCTTATGCCAACACTGTCAATTTAGCATACAAGGGCAAGAAACCAATGGCATGGAGAAAGGAGGAGGGTAGTACACAGAGGTTTGCTCAGGGAATCTTGTGCCATGGCAAAGATAGCACAGTATCCTATCTTTGATCAAGAATATTTGCCTAGTCCTGATGGATGGCTATATACAAACCTGCAGAAACTCAAGCAAGATAAACAACCCCCAGTGTGGAGGCCCTATATCACTATCAACATGAAAAGCTCCAATAAAGAATTATATATATGGGACTCAGCAGGACTTCAACAGCTGTCTGGTGTTCTGTTTTGGAGACAGAAGGCCAGGCTGTGCTGCAGCTCTCAGAACATACTCAGCAGGACTTCAACAGCTGTCTGGTGGTCTTTGGTATTCTGTTATGGAGACAGAAGGCCAGACTGTGCCTGCAGCTCTCAGAACACCCAGAAGGCTTTTGAACTGTGTCGAACCTGTTACTTAAAAAAATAAAAACAAAAGTGATGTTGTCCATCATGCTAAGCCATGGGTTTTGGGTTGTTGTTGTTGTTTGTCCCATGGACAACCAAACAAATCAAAGTTTGTTTTCCCCATTTTGGGTTTTGTTTTGTCCTTTTCTCTTCCCCTCCTTTCCTTGGGTTCTGTTTCAGAATGGCAGCTGGGGAAACAAACCAGAGGCTAGTCATGGTTCCAGGTTGTGATGAAATGAGAAGGCATGAGATCAACAAGCTAGAATCTGCAAATCAACAAGAAACCATGGCTTCTAATTCTGGTTTGTGGCTGGCTAAAAGACTAAGGTTTATTTGTGGGGATAGCTTTGAACACAAGAAGAACACAGAATTCAATGAAGCACAAACTGGCTTACAGTTATGCATGAACTAGGCTCTTCTCTTCAGCTGCATTATGGAAAACCTTCAGAACATATTTCCAACACTGATATCCATTTGATATTTGAATATGAGTTTAATGTAAGAGCTATCATATTTTAGAATTTCAACTGCATAGCACAGAGTTATTAATAAACAGGAGAGTGATTGTGTTAATATGTATCATGTGTTCCTCCAGACAAAGAGTCACTGACTTTAGAGGGGTAGCAAGGCAAAGTACCTTAGCTACAGTTTTGCAGAACAAATTGAGGGTTTCAGACAATAGCCAGCTTTCCTGTTTACTGACCTCCTTCATTCTTTTGTCCCAGGGATCTCCATAATGTCCTTTGTAAAGCTTCAGCTCATCCTCATCTGCCTGTGTCACTGTGGTGACTGGTACAACTCCACAAGGAAAATTCAGGACATTGTAGAGATGGGTGTAAGTAGTAGCAACTGAAAGAGACCATATACAACATGTGATATTTCAGGGATGAATGGTGGAGTTTAGGGAGACACAACACTTTTTGTTCAATGGGGCAACAATGCCATTGCTAAAAAAGGAGGTTGCCTTGCTTTACTTTATCAAGAAGGCAATGTTTTTAAAATGTTAAAAAAAAACAACCCCAAACCAACTAATGTAAGGTACCTGTCTATAAGCACCTATGTCTGCCATACCCTTATCTATGGAGTCAGACTTGTCTTTCATGTTTTAATAGAAATCAGGTTTTGCCTATTTGGTTTCAAGCTTGTTGCTGGAATCCTGAAGGACATGGTTTGACCTGGGGCCACAAGCTGAGTTGCTCTCAGGTTATAAATGCACCCCCTCAAGAAAGCAGGTTGGTAGGTTTTCTCTCGATTATCTTTCTACAGGCAGGACAAACAGTTTCCATTTTAGGTAGGCCTTTAACTCACTGGTACAACTAGAAGCGATCACATACTGGTGTTTTAAAAACAGTGGTCCTTAATTTCATGATTTGTTCAATTGGTTTTTAATGTCATGTTTCTGTAGTGTTTTAATTATGTTGTTTTAATTAACTGTGAACTGCCTTGTGTCCCCTACAGGGATAAAAGGTGGCAAATTAAATAAATACATACATAATAATTTTTTTCAGATAGCTACATCCCATGAGATACTTTTGCTATCACAGCTATCAACCTGGGACATTTGCCAGAAGGCATAGTCTTCCTAAGTGCACAAAGAATTCAAGAAGTGGAGAATTAATCAGTCAAGCATTTAAGTCTTATATTCCATATTTCCTCCAATGAGCTCAAAAACCATCTTTCTTCCCTCACACCAACCTCATGGGGAAGATCAGGATAAGAAAGAATGACATGCCCAAGATCACCCAGGGTGTTAGTGGTTTAATGAAGTCTAGAGCCCAGATGTCCCACTTTGAATCCAATACCAACATGGACTCTGAGACAGTGGGAATATTCTTGTTGTGAAGTTTTCAAAAGGAGCCCTGCTATATACAGTTCTATATAAAAATAACCTTGGTTATAGTTATATTATCTCAAACCCCAGCATCATCCTTTTTCCATCACTGTCATCCTCATTTTCACTAGCTAAAGGGAAAGTACAGTGAAAAAAGTACAGGTTCATGCAAAGTAGCTGCCTAGAGTGGTCCTGACACGACCAGATAGGCGGGATAAAAATAAAATAAAATAAAATAAAATAAA